AGAGAGAGAGAGAGATTTCATCATTAAGGTGAAAAGTTCATTCCTTAAAAATGAAACCAGTTTTCGCTATTTAAAATGTTCAATTTTTTGTGCAGAAAAAAGTATCAAACTTATCAACTAGAAGGTCATAGGGAAAGTTTGATCGTCGAGAGTCCATGAGAAAAAAATAAAAAAAAAGGTTTGATGGTGGAGATCTATACATGCTCTATCGTCCTTGAAAATTTGGGCTGTTACAAACCTCATTGGTTAGGTCATGCCAATTTTTTTTTTCCAATGATAAGAATCGGTCGTAGTTACTGGAATCTTCTACCCCAGGTGGCAATCCCCTCCGTAATCTTGCTATGGCTCTTCGGACAAGGGATTCATGGAGGCTTGGTTTTTTAATTTAGGATTCTCGCTGCCTACTATTTAGGAATCTCATTCTGAGTTATTTGGGAGCTAGATTCCACAACATCAAGTCCAGAGTTCATAGTTTATCTGTGGTTGATCAATATGGTATCGAAGTTGTAATAACACACAGTTGAGATTCAATTGCAAATGCTTTAGAGTTATAGAATTATTGTTACACAAAAGGGTTTGTAGAATGATACAACAAAAAAAACTATTTTATGGTTTTATATTTTACATAAATTGATACTATAAGGTTCGTAGAATGGTTGCAATTATATTATGGAAATATTATGGAATGCTTGGGTTTTTAAAATTCTTTTAACATTCTATTTTTTAAAATTGATTATTTTTAATATAAAATTTGTACTTTCTGTATTCAGCAAAAAAGGATGGGTGTCTAGAAACTCTATTTTACCTCAATTAGTACTCGAGAAACCCTGGTCAAGGGCAATTGAGGACCTTGATTCCAATACTACTAGTGGACCTCGATTAAGGGTACTCCATACATTGATTCCATTACCTGTGGAACCCTTGTTTGGGGAAGTTGAGGGCCTCAATTCCAATACTAGGAGAATATTGGCTAATGGCATTTAAATCGTTGATTTTATTATTAGGGGATTCTTGCTTAAGAATACTCTAATATCTTGAACATTTTGCCATATGGAACCAATTCCTTGGTAGTTATTTGCACAGTTTAAAATTGTTGGGAGCACGATTCCCCAAAGGTTGGGTTGATCCATAAGATGTGCATTGTATGGACAACGCTTCCTATCATAGTTATCTTCTAGCATGTCACGACTTCCCACTTTCGATTCCCAAATCTCTCCAATGCACCTCCTCCCTTTTCCAATGACTATGGAATCTGCTATCTGTTCTGGGTCATGTTCAATTTCTCTTCGTCTTTTTAGTGATTTCCATGTAGTAGAGGCCTGTGACAGATTTGTTTGAGGCTTTACTTTGTTAATATCTTTCCTACTTTGGAATATGGTGGGTTGGAGTTTATTTGGACATTTTGTATTCTTGATGCCTAAAATTTATGCTGTCTTCATTTTATGGTATATCCGTTGTGTTTTAATTTGTCGTTCCTGATAATTTTTCAGAGGTCCCTGGGGTGCACTTTCGCCGATACCAGAAACAAATGCCATCAGTACAGATGTTCAGGTTGGGCCAAAAATATGCATTGTTAGTTTGTTGTTTAACAGCCAAAGACAATTCCGTGACGTTGTGTATTTGATCTCAAATCATTATTGCCAACAGTTGTTTTTGGGAGTCCCAAATTGGCATGCAAAACTTGACTACATTATATATTAGTAATAACATCTGATTGCTGAGTATTACATTTTCCTCTTGTTTTTCTTTGGTGAATTGGATGCGTTTTACATTACGGACATGCTTTACTTTTTTAAAAGCTTAAGTAATGAAATGTTTGCGGCATGTTTCCTTCGTGGGTATTTATGTTGTTTCAAATTTTTCTCAGGAAGTATTTCATAATTTAAAAAGGAGTAACTTTTGGTGCATATAGTTCTTTGTGTGGACAGCGAGCCAAACAATCAAATTTGGAATCAGTTGATGGGATTTTTTTTGTTGTTGTTTTTGTTTTGATCAATAGTAATGTCCATTATATATACAAAAATCTAAATATTGGCAAGAGTCTGAAAACAATAATATCCTAAAATTTACAAACCAAAAAACTCAGTCTTCTTGTTGCCTTAGGTCTAATGAACTGATTCCTGATTTGAATTAGAGGTCTAGGGTTCGAACTTAACTAGTGAAATCAAGGTGACCACCAAGTTCACTTTCCTATTTTCATGTCTACACTCGTAATTTTGCTTCACATAGAAATATGATTTATGAAACATAATTTAGTCTTTTGAATGATGTTAGCTATTAGAGGGGTCTTTTTATTCGAAAAGGAGGCTCACAAATTTCATGTTGTAGAACCAATGTTTGAAAACATGGTGAGGCTGACTCAGACTTGTCCAAGTCACATGGGACTAGCACCATGCCGATTCTGGATGATCCCAGTTTTGACTGAGTTTTAACCGTGTCGGGCCAGGTATGATCGAGTCTGAACCAATTATTTCTTGTCCAAGTCTTGACCAGTCAGACTTGTGAGTCAGCGAGCCAACTTGGATAACCCGACGTCCCCTTCAAAAAAAAAAGGGAGACATTTGCACTGTTCGGTGTTTTTGAACACTGTGTAGAACCCATTACAAGTGCTTGGACCTCTACCTATGTTAAGGTCCACTTTGCCTTGTTTCCATATTAGTTTCTATCCTTTGTCGGACCTGCAATCTCTTTGGTGTTATCATTTTTCCAATGTTAAAACTCTTGGTCTGAAACTCTTGATAATGTTTAACTGCAGGTGTGCGCTAGGATAGACATCTATTTGTGGTGGTAGTCCCATAATCCAGCTGATTGTCTCCTTTCTATTGCCAATGCTCTCTGCTCCCATGTTAAAACGCACTGATTCCTAGTGGTCTGTAGCAATTAAGGCGGCCAATGGACAGGGCCAGGCCTCGGGCTACCGGGCTGAGCCTGGTTCTGGGCCAGGTTTCGGGTCACTTTCGGGTGCCCAGCAGGGCCACTATGGGTGTAAGTGATATTTCGGCGGGCTGGGTAGTTAGCGGGCTGGCCTGGAAAAGCCCCTTTTTGGCATAGGGACGGGCTGCCATGCAATCCATCTTAAGTCATGGCCCGGCCAAAAATAAGGTCCGATACAGCCCAATAAAGCCTGGCCCCGTCCATTTAGTTTTTTTTATTTTAAAAAACCTATTTTCTCTCTCTAAAAATCCAATCTATCTCTAAAAACCCATTCTCTCTCTAAAATCCAATCTCTCATTCTCTCTAAAAACCCATTCTCGCTTCTCTCTAAAAACCCATTCTTTCTCTCTCTAAATTCAATCTCTCTTTCTCTCTCTAAAACCCACTCTCTATAAATCCAATATCTCATTCTCTCTCTTTCTAAAAACCGACTCCCTCTAAAAAAACTCAAATCTCTCCCAACCTATTTCTCTCTCTAAAAAATATTTTAACCCCAAAAGCCCGGGTTAAATCCAATCGTCTCTCTCTTTTACCCTCTATCTAACTTTCATTCTTGCCTCTGCTCTCTCTCTCTCTCAACTCTCTCTGCTCTTTCTTGCCTTTCTGCTCCCTAACTCTCTTTTGCCTCTCTGCTCTCTGTAAACCCTATTTCTCTCCTCTCTCACCTGGTTCTCTTAAGCCACGAACTGCTGAATTGATGAGATCAGCATTGCCCCAATTATCAAAAGATCTCATTCAAGAAATGATGAAGCCTCCTATGAGATCTTATGACCCAAATCTCATACAAGACCCTGCAATTTACAGGTGGGTTTTGCTTCTTTTAATGAAATTCATTCATTATTTTTTGAATTCTGATAGGGGAGAGGAGAGAGAAAAAGTATCCTAGAGAGATAGAGAGAGAGAGAGGCTAGGATACTGTGCATGGTTTATGGGTTCTTTTAAATGCCTAATTGATAGTAGCATATGAATACGTGAATATCAGAGAATAGAATGAGACTTCTATTCAGAAAGAATTTATTGAGAGAGGGTAAAGAACAAGGTTCTCTCTTTAGAGGGATTTTCTAGCTTTTCTCTTAGATTCTTAAGTCGATTAGTAAAGTGATTCTTTGGCTATAGAGAGAAGTTGTCATGGCAGTTTTCAAGCACTCTAATGGGTTTTTCAGGCTATTTCTACTGATTTTGTGCCTTGGATTCTTGGGTCCTTTTAAATTTTCTAAGAAATAATTAGCAAAATATTCTTTCCCTACAAGAAAAGTTGTAAGAGATAATTTTTTTAAAAAAATAATGGGCCGGGCCAGGTCCAATAAGCCTAATGGGTTCTGGTCTGCGCCGGAACAATTTTTTAGTATTAAAAATTTTTTGAAGAGAAAGATTGAGTAAAAAATGGACCGGGCCAGGCCCCGATAGGCTTAATGGGATTCGGGTTGGGCTTAAGTATAAATTGCCAGGCGTTTGGTATAAGATTTGGAGCCTTAACGGGCGAGCCACGCTTTTGACGTTAATTTTCGAGAGCCTTAACGGTCCGGGCCATACGGGTATATCTCCAGGCCAGGCCTTACCCTGCAGAGCCAGATCAGTCCCGGGCTTTACTGGGCCCCAGGCCTGGCCAGCCCGGGCCCTGCCCATTGGCAGCCCTAGTAGCAATGTCTATCCTCTGCAGGACCAGCAATTCCATAGGGGTTGCCGTTTTTCCTATGTTAATACTTTGAGCCCGAAACTTCTTATAATGTTTAACTGTAGGTTTCTGCTAGCATTGATACCTTTTGCTAGTCCCATAACCCTACTGACTGTGTCCTTGTGGTTGCCAATGAGTGGAACATTTTACTTTTTGTTGAAATTAAAACTTGCAGGTTGTATATCAAGTTATCAAGAAACTCTCTCTCAACTTGAATATAAATTCTTTGGATATGACCCAAGTTTCTTTCGAGTTCTAAGGGATGATTCTTAATCTTGCAATTTATTTTTGATAGGGTGGTCGCATATTTGCTGCTACTGGTGATTCTTGTGCATATTCTTGGGATGTGGTATGCTGTCCTTCAACTTCTCTTGAGATAGCTTGAAGTTGATATTTTCTAACCTATATTTAACTTTTTTAAATCAAAGTTGTAATTGTTATTTGCTATCTTTAAACCTTGCATTGATTTTGTTTCCTGAGACCCAGCATTGTTATCCTTTGTCTCTTCTCTCCCCTTCAATTTTTCTTTTTTAACCTTGCATTAGATCTCTAAAATATACTCTTTCAGCATAGCTTTTCTACCGAAGTAGCTTTAAACATAAGTGATTTTGTAGTTAGCAATTCTTGTGAATGAATTTGAACATGTAGGTTATACACATTTACTGTGCTGTCTTTGAATTCATGTATTCATGTTCATACAGCTATTATGATATTATAATTTATTACAGCTAAGTTATGATTTAGCTGACTTATATGTCTAAGTTGCCTTACCTTATGATCCATCCACACTAGTTATGCAGAAGAAAGTTTCCATTAAGATCTCCAAGTTTCTTCTTACTGAGTTTGGGTTCATTTTGAAATTTGTTATTGTATTCCTTATGGTAACTTATATTGATTGTGAAAGCATCCCTAGATAATGGATTCAGTGCAAACTAAAAAAAAATCTAATGAATGAAAGAACCAAGTTTCCATCTTCTTAAGACATAAGAAATAAAGCCCTCATGGCATCATTAAATAAGTTTCCTTTTTGCCACCAAGAGAGTAAAAAAAAAAAAGCATGATTTGGTCCTTTGGAATGCTATGATGCCCTCATCTATTATCCTTGGGTTGGGAAGAACTTGACCTTGTTGGGTGCATCTCCATGCAACATTGATAAAGATCCTCCTCTCCACAACTCATCAATCTACGATTACTTTGAGAGTAGAAGAGTTCTTTGGGAGTTGAAGCTATAAATTCTACATGCATTACTTTGATTCCCCAAAACATTTCCATTGAAACTTTGAATGATATTCACCCAATCAGCTTGCTTACTAGCCTGCCTTTATGAAATCATTGCTAAAGCTAAAATTCTTTCTTTGATCACTCATAGTATCTTAATTGCACAAGAATGTACTACCAAAGTTTATTACAGGGGAGATTGATCACTCACAATATCTTAATTGCACAAGAATGTATGCAATCCAAGAAATTAGAAAATAGACTTGGTATCCCCTGTAAATTGATTATGGAAAAGGCTTATGATAAAGTGGTTTGCGGTGTACTTCAAGAAATTACAAGGTTGATGAGATTTGAAAATAAATGGAGGAAATGGATTCATGGTAGTTTCTCTAACAGTCATTTTTTGGTAATTATCAATGGTAGTGCTACAGGATTTTTTAAAGACACTATAGGTGTCCGATAGAGGTTTCCATTTTCACTTTTCTCTTTAAGCTGATGGTTAAGGTTATTAGTGTTGTCTATTTTTGAAAGAAATATTAAGTAGATTGTTGAAAAATGATGCGAAAGGAGCCCAAAACTTAAATCCGGCTTTCTCTTGATCTTAAAACAAACAAAATTCAGCAACTATGGTGAAAGAAACAATGGCTGTAAATCAAGCCAAAGGAAGAAAAAACTCTCTTTTATTTAAAAAGTGTAACTTTCCCCTTTGAGGAGAGACTTGGATATTTGTTTGTAGAGTTTTATGAATGAAGAAAAGAGAGCTTTTTCTTCCTTCGGCTTGATTTACAACCATTGTTCCTTTCTCCATAGGTGCTGAATTTTGCTTGTTTTAGGATCGAGAGAAGGCCGGATTTAATTTCTGAGCTCTTTTCGCATCATTTGATATTAGAGCATGGTTCAAAAAGAGTCAGCAACTGCAATGGCTGGTCGTGGAAGTCGCAACCGTAGGAATGTTGAGCCAGACCAAATACACAAGAAAATTGACAGCTTAATGGATATGATTGAAATGTTGTTGCCAAAAGAAAGATTGCAACAACGCACATCGAACAAGATGAGATCTATGGTGTTAGATCCATATTGTGCGAGTTCTTGTGCAGATCGACGTAAATTAGAGCGCGAGTTTGAGTGGGGATGACCTGATGTTATGTTGGATCGCACTTATGGGTTTGTTGTACGACAACATCAACGGGACCATCCCAAAGCTGATGTGATTGACATAGGGGAGTAGATCGAAATCAGTGTAAAGACGAGCATAGAAAGAAATTTTCCACTTCCAAATCCACCCCTAGAGCAGGATCATTTCAAGCTAGGAGACTGATTCCTTCAATGCCGGGAGTTCCTATCCCTTCAACAAAACTACAATTTGGGTATCACATAATTAAACAGACAGAGGTATGTGATTTCTTGATCAAACTAGAGAGTGTGATGCATTGAAATGCACAAAAGTCCTAAATCTAATGAGACAAAGGTTGATGTATGATCAACCTGTTGGAAAAGAAAAGATAATTGAGATATGACTAACGTTTGTTATTGATAGAAGGATGAAGGATTCTAAATATGATAATAAAGAAATCCATCATTGCATCAATCAGAAGGAAATGTTAAGTTTTAACATTATCTCTGTTGAAGATAATGTTGAATTTGCAAGTGAGTCACTCTTAATGAACAAGGAAGAGCAACCCATATTTGAGATTGGAAGAGAAAGCAGAGATACTGGTTTGTGATCAAAGCAAAGTGTTAATGGTTAGACAAGAACCATCTTTGTTGTTATTGAGTGGGGAGATTCCACCCAAGTCTTCCAAAAAGAAGAGTGTGGTTCTACTCTCTATGCGACGACCTGCAGATGAAGGTGATGCTCACGACAATGCTTGTTTCTCTTAATGTCTTTTGAATCTGAAGGGCCATGGGAGGTGCATACCAAGGAACTACCTTTTCTCACTACTTCCAACCATGCCCGTTTGGGCCTATCCTTTGCCCTTTTTGAGCCTTCCACTTGAACAAACTCGTATCTCCTAGTAAGTGTTGTACTGGGTCTACGCCACACATAGTCAGCCCACCTAAGTCTGCTCTCTCATCTTATCACCTATTGATGCCACACCTAAATTTTCTTGAATGTATTGTTTTTCCTTTCTTTTCTTACCATTCATCCATCTCTACATCCTCATCTCTGTTACACTCAATCTATGGGTACATTGTTTTCTGACCGCCTAATATTCTACCCCATAGAGTGAAGATAGTCTCACAGTTGTTCTATAGAACTTGCCCTTCAGCTTCATTAGTATGTGGCGCTCACATAAAATTCTGGTTGCACATCTGGACTTCGCCTACCCGACTCTAATTTTATGTGCGACATCTTCCTCAATCTCTCCATTTCCTTGGATTATTGACCCAAGATATCGAAAGTGTGCTATATTTGATATTTTTTTGACCTTCAATCTTAACTACTTCCTCGTCTCTACTTATATTAGTTGTAAACTTGCATTCCATATAATTTGTCTTAGTCCGGCTAATTTTAAAACCTTTAGATTCTAGTGCATCCCTCCAAAGTTCTAACTTTGTGTTGGCACCGTTTTTTGTCTCATCAATCAAAACTATGTCATCTGAAAACAATGTGCACTATGGTAACTTATCTTGTAGGTGCCTAGTTAAGTCATCCATAACTAAGACAACGAGCTATGGGCTCAATAATGACCCCTGATGTAGACCTATTGTCACCGAAATCACTCGTCTCTATACTAGTTGTTCGTACACTAGTTAACGCCCCATCATACATATCTCTCACCAAGTCAATGTAGTGTCTGGAGACTCCTTTCTTTTCCAACACCCACCAAATCAAATCTCAACTGTATCATAAGTTTTCTCTAGATCAATGAAGATCATGTGGAGGTCTTTTCCCTTCGTCCTAAACTTCTCAATCAGTTGCCTAAGTAGGAAAATATCCTCGGTTGACCTCCTTGGTATAAAACCGAATTGGTTTTCTAATACACTCGTTTCATGTCTTAGTCGTTGCTCAATAACTCTCCATGTGGCACATAAGTTTGATCCCTCGATAGTTTACACAATTTTGTATATCTCCTTTGTTCTTGTAAATAGGTACCATAATACTTCTCCACCATTCCCCTGGCATTTTTTTTGTTCTCAATACCATGTTTAACAACTTGGTCAACTAGTGAATTCCAACCTCCCCCATGCACTTCGAAACCTCTATCGAGATACCATCTGGTCCTAAAGCCTTTCCTATCTTTATCATTTTCAAAACTTCTTTCACTTCGGATATCCTAATCCTACTAATGTATCTCCGATCTCTGCCTTCATTTATGCAAACGGTTCCTTCTACTTCCTGTTGTGTTCGTTATTTAATAATTTTTTAAAATAAACTCTCAATCTATCGTTGACCTCTTAATGCATTTAATATGGTCTAGATCCCTACACATTTTCTCTCTCATTTTTTCTAATCTGAAGACATCTTTTTCACCTTTTCTTGTTTCCAGTTTATTGTGTAGATTATCATATGCCTTAAGTTTAGCCTTACTATTTGTTAAGCATTTTTCTTAGTATTTTTTTATTCTTTTAAGTTTTGATCATTTTTATTTGACTGCCAAGTTTTATAACATGATCATTTTTCACTAATGGCCTTCTGAATTTTATCACTCCGCCACCAAGTTTCCTAATTGAAATTTCTTTTCCATCTAGATTCTCCGAAAACTTCTTTTGCCACTTTCTTAATATAGTTACCTATCGCATTCCACATAACATTGACCTCATGTTCAGAGTTATATTTTTCTTCTTTAACTAATTCATCCCTAAATAAGTCTATTTTCTCATTACCACCTAGCTCTTGGACACCTACTAATTTCACCCCTTCTCTTCCATGTCTCTATGCAGATATCCATAACCATGAGCCTATGTTGGGTAACCAAACTCTCTATGGGATAACCTTGCAGTCTTCACATGATGGTCGACCTACCTTCTTAACTAGGAAGAAGTCTATCTGGCTTTTATGTGTGATCCACTTTTATAGGTTCTAATATTCATCTTGCTTTTTAAAGTAAGTGTTTGTTATTGCTCGGTCGTAGGCCATAGCAAAATATAGAATAGCTTCCTCCATCTCATTTCTTTCACCAAACCCATATGGCCTATGTACCCGTTCATATTCTCTACTATTCTTCCCTACATGACTGTTTAAGTCCCCTCTCTGTCTCTCTATCTTTCTAAAAAATTGGTTTGCAAGCCCTAAAACCAACTAAAATGTTGGTTGCCAAAATGCCCCGTAAGAATGGTAATGTAAAATAAAATAAAAAGGCCAAAACAAAAAAAAATTTGAAAGTACAAAATATTTTATTTTTTGTGTTTTATTTTTCATGTTGGGACTTGTTGGCTAGGTCTGAATCAGTGGAACGTCCTAGTCTAGGTATTAAACCAAATCTTCTATTGTTTGGTACTGGTTCAACGACTCCACTAATTCAAACCCTTGGATTGACAAGTGGGGCTCCCTATCTCTGGTCAGACTATTTGGTCCAGTCTTAATATCATTGTTTTCTTATGATTTTACATTATTCTTGGTGTCTATATCCTTGTCCAATCTTGTTAAGAAGGAACTATTTAAGATTTTCACCATCTAGATGGTGTAGATTGGACACTATCTGAAAATATGTGTCATGTATTGATATTGTTTTAAAAGATGTGTCGAATTTACACCGTCCGAATAAAATAGGTCGTGTAGAGTATCATAACGCTTTTTGTAAATAAGGTTGCAACCTTGTACAAACTGCACCCATATATATATATATATATATAGATATATATATATATATATATATAGGGAAATGATATCATGTCACCATGCCATTATAGTATAATCAAATCACACTTCTAGAAAACCATATTTGTGGTATTTGTATGACCTGAAATTGTGCACACACACTGTCTTCATCTCAATAATCAATCTCAAAAAAATAAAATAAAAATTGCACACACCCTATATATGATCAAAATGAGGCCCCTTCAACTATGAATCTAGACTGTCCATTTGGTGAATTTCAAGATCTAGGCCTTTATGAATTCAAAATCTAAATTTTCTTTTTTAACTTTGTTAATCTAGAGATAATAAAGTTATCTAAAAAATTAGGGAGATAATAAAGTTATCTAAATAACTAGCTAAAAAATTTTTGGTTTGGTTCTTTAAATAACTAGCTTTTTATCTGTTTCTTGTTTCATGTTGTAGGAGACAGGTAAATGCACAATGGAATTTAGAGGACATTCGGACTATTTGCATTGCATTGCTGCTCGGTGTTCCAGCAATCAGGTTTGAATTGTTGCTTGAGAGCTTGGGTAATTTCAATACCATGGGGGTTTATGGAGCTTTTTATCTTTCTAAACCCTAAATCCTAGAGTCCCAAACCTATCATTGAGGTTATGATGTATCTGTGCCAAGCCTGGGCATGTCGTCCCCCCTCCCTGGGGGGGGGGCCTGATGCGGGCGAAACGTGGAATCTCCTAATGATTCTGCTGCTGGAGCAGGGGGAAGGGATACAGTAGGAACATGAATTGGGAATAGTGATGGAAACCTGGCCGGCCAACTTTGTATAGTGATCTTATAAGTAACTAAGTTAGTCAGTTGTCCTGTTGTCATTGGCAACTTCCATGCACTTATCTTAAGTCGAGCCCTACTAAAATGTTATGTGCAATCGACAGGTTGTCTTCTATCGTTGACTACTCTGACTGAATTGAGAAACAAGTGAGATTCAAATAATTCCTTTCTCGGTTTCCATCCGCCTTTGATAGACAAAAGAGAAAGACTTGCTGATGAGGCAAGCGACGCTTATTTCTCTTTATGTACTGCTGGGGACATACATTAATGTGTTCCTTAGTTTCTATTGTTTGTTATAGCAACATACTTCCATATCGATCGTCATGGCAGGAATTGATATCTGCATCATCCTCAAAAAGGCCTACCTCCTTTTGTGCACTCCTCATCTCCTTCTTGAGGATGATCCACTGGACGCATTGCAATGGGTTTTCTGCCTAACCCACCGGCTTTCTCCTGCTTTTCTAAGCTTATGTGCAGCATTGTTGAGATTGGAAACTATACCAACAGCACCTCGACTTCAGGAATCAATGACTTTTCACCACAGTGTCTTGCATGACTATACCATTAACATGCAAGACATTGTGGTGCTTGTTCCTTCATTTTTTTCCACAAAGGTTCATGCAGCTGGAGCCAGCTTTGCAGCTTGACCTTGATGACACTCAATATCATGTACTCATGTACCTATACATATATTGGCTACTGGTATGCCATTTTCACCTCAATAATAGGGAAGAAGTATATCATATCTATAAGCTGGGGATCATGGCCAAGAAGCAGCCCACTGACTACCCTTTCCTGGCCCATCCCTTATCGATGACCATCTTGCCCATTTCCATTGGATGACTAGCTAGATATATTTGTTGACCTAAGCCTCGTGTGTCAGGGCTTGGCTCCCGAGCTGTACGTGAGCTGCCTCTTAGGGCACTTTCAAAGAATTTGAAGCCTCCTATCTCTTCTCTTCTTATCACTTTTTATTACTATTAGAAGGTAGCTTGCTTACCATTGCAAAAAAGACTTCTTCCAAAAATTTCCTCCCTCCTATTGGGGCTATCAGAGAAGTAGCTTCATTCCTTTACTTTGTGTGTGCTCAGTCAAGGTTCCTTGTTCCTTAGTGTAGTCTTTGCCCATAATTGAAGACTCTGTTTCTTAGCCTAGTCTCCAGTACATACTCTTCTTGTCCCTTAGTTTTTCTATACTCAAGTAGAGGAAATAAGTGAGACTACCACCCCTTAGAATCAGTTCTTCCATATAGATTACGCTACCAACATTACCGCAGGGCCCGGTTTGTCTTGATTTCCCATTGGTGAACAAGAAGGAAGGACTGAACTGGACATGCAAGAGTTCTCTAAATTTACCAAGTCCTATAATTCATCAAAATCCTATTAAGAGTCTGAGATGATTTGTAGGACGATGTGCGTCATCACTGATTCATCGTATGAATCACATCAGTACGAGGTTTTGGAACAAATTATGAAGACATTATAAACTCTAAATGCATGATAATACATGTAAGAAACAAATAGGATTCACGTACAAGAATAATCATGGTGGCTGCATTACTACGGAGATGGGACTGATGTTGGATACTTCGTTTGCTTGGTCCAATCATTGTGTGGGTCGTGCATTCTCAAATTTAGAAAGAACTATAGCCCTTTGGTTGGGGGAGCTATCTCTGGTGGTGGTGGTGGTCATCGCTTTCCTGAAGCTGATGTGGGGTCATGTTTCCGTGTTGCTACACTCACAACCCTTCTGTGAAGGTTTGGCACCTTTTACTTTGAAAGCATCAGACTGGAATCCTTTGAACTGAAGGACTTGGTGGCAATATGGTAGAGCAGGTGAATCTCAATTGGTGCTCTGGCTATAGAATCGCGATAAAGCTTCATATTTTATGTCTTGCATTAAGGAGTAAATGAATCCAAATTCAGGAGGTTAGAGCAGAGAAAGAGTTGTATAGTGATGGAATTAGTTGACATGAGCTGAACAGAAGAGGAAGGTTTAGTCTCTGAGGAGGGAAGAAACAAAAGATTGAATCTAAAAGTTCGACAGGAATTCATCCTGAAGATGGAGTAAATTCATTGGCGCCAGTGTGGTGGACCAATGATGGATATACAACTTTGTGGAAGCTACATGATTCAGTTGTTTGTTAATAAAGGGGAATTTTGAGGAGGGTATGTGTTGCTGATCATGAGAGTTTTGCTTTTTGTCATTGAGCTCAAATGATTTGGTCCTTAGGTTTATTCTTCAGCCGACTTGATGGGTGGTTGTGGATCTTGAAGTGGTCCTTGCTACCCTGCTACTGGATAAGCAATGCAGTACACAGCCCTACCCTGTTGCTCTTGGGAAGGATGGCATTACCTCCTAAGAAAGAGCCCAACCCTATTACTCTTGTCTAGGAGGGCAAGGCCTCTCCTGTCCAAGAGCCCAGCCCTCTTACTCTTGTCTAGGAGGGCTAGGCCTCTCCTATCTAAGAAGTATGCCCTATCCTAGTAGCTATTTATGGAGTGTCCCCCCCTAACTGCGCTATTCCCCCCATGGGGGTAGTTAGCTACTAGCTCAGAAGAGGAATGTAATCCCCCTTGGCTTGGCTTCCTCCTTCCAGGGGGAGGTTGAATTAGGTGTACCATTTCCTTGTCAAAATTCCAAGCCCTCTATCTACAGTGTTATAAGTCTAATTTTCGTATCATATGATATAACAGAGGCATGACTAGCTATGATGATAGACACCTCAAGTCCAAGGCATCTTAGTATCCTTATAAGAGGTTTATTCTATTAGCGATTAAGTGGTCTAGTTGTTAGGAGCCAAAGCCAATCAAATGGTCTTGTCTTGTTGTTGGTATGTGGATCGAGTCAAGTCTTTAAGGAATGTGCACTATAACCGTCTTCTAGTGTATGTATATATGAAGACTCAGAGCCATCTTAAAAATGCACAAAACAAATACCAATTTCCCAAAACATCTTGACTTAAATGTCAATACTGAAGGACGTAGTTGATTATAGAAAGAGTGGTTCCCAAGATTAAGACGTGGGATTGGGCAGCACGAAAGAAGATCAGTCTATAGGGTTCCCCTAATCAATTTCCTCGGGCGCTTAGAAGGCATAATAGAATTTTCCTGGGAGTTGATTGGGTCTTGACGATCATCCAATCTTAGAACACAGGGATATAAGCGCCCCTGCAAATCTTAAAGTGATTGCTTTTGTTATACACATGAAATACTGTCCATGGTTTCTATAAATTTGATGTTGGCTGTATGTTTCTAGAATTTGATTAGAATCAAAAGATTGTGTGCTTCATCTGTTCATTTCATGACTTTGTTGTGGTTATTTGAGTTGGTTATTATGTTCTGTTTGTTCATTATGCTAATGACAATTTTTTCTGCAGATCATCACTGGTTCTGAGGATGGAACAGGCCGAATATGGGGTGAGCTTAAGATGCATTTCTTTATTTAGACTTTTGAGGCTTCTTATCATTATGTGTTTTCGTCTTGTTTCTGAATTAAGCAAATTTTGTGGGCTAAACTTGACATAGTGATTGGTGTTCATTTCAGGATTACAGATGTTGGAAAACATTTTACCTCTTTTATGTTTGTCACAACAAATTTGTACCACTCATTTGTGCTAATGTTTGATGCCCTTATGCACTGTAATCTTCAAAAGATTATGTTTTACGAATATGAGATTTGACCCACTTGACCTCACTGATTCTTTTCGAAATCATCTATATTGGAAGGTTCACTATTAAGCTTGTTGGAAACAAGAATTTAGCAAATCTGTATGAGCCTCTTCCACTGGTCATTTTTGCAGACAATCTTGTTTGATCCTCTTTGTAACTGTACTGAATGTCTTTGATGAGGTGTGATGATCTTTGTTTCCTGAAAATTGTTTCGTTCGTGTGTTGGCATTTCCAAGGGTCTTGCAATTGCAATTTACATATTTAAGGTTAATTAGAAAGATTATGTTTTTTAAAGCTTATTTAAGGCCATCCTGCACAAGAAAATGATTTGGCTTTAGAAATCAAGTATCCTCTTCACCTCTGCAACCCGTTTTCAGGGCTTTTAATATGTAATCTTTAGTGCTAGAATTGAAACTCAATAAACTACTGCAGACTTTACTTTTATTTGCAATTGGAAATTCAAATGGCATTGGGAGCACACACTGGTGGGATTCTCTCCCCATCATTCTGTAACAAGAATTTATAACCTGTAGTTCTTTTTGTTAGGGAAACTACGCCATGGCCGGTCCCATGCCGGGAGAAAGGAGGGTTGTGTTAGATAGGCAGCCAGTATATAACTTTGCCACATCCTTTTACAAACCCTGAACCAATGTTATATGCTCATGCTAGGGCGTTCCTTGTAATGACTTAGGGTATGGCCCTTGATAGAGCGGAATGACAGAACAAGATTCATGTAACTGACCCCAGATAGTTGGATGTGGCTCGAATGATGATGATGAATTCTTTTTGTTGGGGAAGATCTGGCATTTATATGTATATCTCCTATTCTATTATAGGATATGATATTTGATTGGGTTCAATCATATCTTCATTTTCTGTTTCCAATCTAGCTGTGAATGTCCAATATGGGATGATAATTGTGTAGGGCAGCTGTTAAATGTTTTAACTCATGGGCCTTATTTTCTCTCTTCTTAGCTGAAATCCCCTTTTAACTTTGTTCTACTTGCTTTTCTAAGTTAATTTCTTGGAGCCATCAGGCGTTTGAAATGTCGGTTCCTCCATTATATGAAGATATCCTGGAGGATTTCTGTTCCTTGCTTATGACAAACGAAGGAAATGTACAATTTGTTAAAACAGGATTGAAGCAACATGTTCTATTTATGTTCTTTGAGTAATCTGTCCAGAGGTTGTTATTTCCAGGAACCACTGAATGCTGTCTTTGGACTTGAACCCCTTATTCTGAACCTTCATTTCCTCTTAGTTCATTCTTGTTTTTCTAGCATGTTCCTTTTCAATTAAGAAAACTGATATCTATAGGAGCTTTTAACTTGATTATAGTTATCTTTCCTGGGGCTTAAACTCAGTCTTCATACCTGGAAGTTAATATATTTACTTTTTAAGACCCCATTTGGTTTTAAATAACCTTTTGCTAGTTCTTTTCTTCATGCTGTTCTCATTTCTGTGTTCTTTGCATTGCTAAAACATTAGACTGTAGAAGTGGCAAGTGTACCCGTGTTCTGAATCCAACAAAAGATATGACAGAGGGGAAAGGTCAGAAGCATGCCTATCGATGGGTCAGCTGTGTTGCTGTTGATGCAAGTGAAACTTGGTTGGTAAGAGTTTCCCATGGCAGCCGGGATTTGTCTGGTGATATTTAGAGATTTTTGTTTTAAAATGCTGTCATCTAAAATAGTCCACATAGTGAATTTATGGCACTGTTAATTTATACCCCTCATGTACCATTTACTGGTTGGAAAGTGACAGGTTTGCCTTATTATTGTATAAATCCCATACTTTTGTATGCATGGAGTAAAATGATTATTGTTTCCCTCTGTTTAATAAACTAGTGGGCTCAAAAGTAGTCAACCTGTCAATAGTATACTGCAGAACAAGTTATGGACTCAGTACACTAATGTGGCAAAATTGTCATTTTTCATTTTGCATTTATTGGGTTGTTTAGAAAACAAGAATATATCATGATACTTGTATCTTACCGTTCAGTATGCTACAAGTAACATCAGCTGTCTGCTATCAACAAGGAATGGCTGTGTGAAATATTCCTCTGCTCAAGCATCTATGTGTGCTTGAGCAGATAACATTTTACATCAGCTTTCTGATGTTCACGATAGGCAACAACAGATGGCTGATGTTACTTGTAGCACACTGAATTATGCTACACTTTTCGTAGTATACGAGCCAATGTTTTGAAAATTGGAGTGAAATCGGGACTTGGGCAAATCTTAAAAGACAAAAAAGTTTTTCCTGATTTTTTATGTTTTAATTTTTATTTTTTTTGCTTTTTGAGAAAAAGTAGGAAAAAGCGGATGGATTCTCCCCCATTTGGAACCCTCTTTCATCAATTTTTTCACAGATTGTTCTTCTCCTACCCCTCTTTCAGATACACAAAAATTTTAATGGATTAAATCATTTTGCCAAGATCAAGACATCAAAAACTCGCCATTTTTAGGGCAAGATCCCAACCCACTATTTCTTTGATTTCTCCCCATTTTCTCAACCACAATTCATGAAATTTCGTGTCAAAGAAACCAATTCGAGCCCTCTAAGGGATACCTAACACAATTTCTCAGATTTTATAAAAAAAAGGAACAAAAGAAAGAAAAACATGTTCGAAAGGAAGGTTTTTGAAAATCCAAGGTTAGATCTACAGATTTATGAGTTTTGATCCTAGATTTCTTTGGGTGTTCCTCTCTAGAAGGTGTCAGTCTTCAATCTAATACTGGTATTTTCACAATTTAAAACATTATCTTTGTAGAATTTGAATTTTTTGTCATTTTTACTTCTTCTGCCAGAGCACTCAAAATTTCAAAACGATCACATATTTCCTTTTTATTTTTTTCTTTTGCAAGATTCCGTTAAGTTTTCTGTTGTGTTGTGTTAAACTTAATTCTACAAAGGTATTGCATGATTTAGACAATATTTTTGTAGATTTCAAACTTTTCTGGTTGTAGATTCATGTTGTTTGATAAAAACCCTCGGATTTCACTAAGGTTTTTCTTTTAAAGAGTGTAATCTTTGATCTATAACAGGCAGTGAGTGATTTAAAACAATATTTATAGATTGTGGCTTTTTTATAATTTTTTTTATCTTTTGAAAAAATCTTGAATTTTCAATTATTTCTTGATGATATTTTCATCAATATAACTGATGTTGTGGCGCATTTTTTCTCACAAACCAAGTAACCAACATAAAATCATTTTTAATTTTTTTTGTATTTTGTTATAGTTCTTTTGTTGGCTCTGTATATCTGAACAAGTCGAGCTAGTTCGAACTAACAGATTTACAGAGCCAGCTCAGAATCAGCAGGTGCCCAGTTTGGTCACCCAAGCAGGTTTTGAAAACACTGCTACAAACCGTTACGTAACATTCTGGAGTACGATAGACCTTTTTCAACCATTATATGGAAAGTATGGTCATTGCTGTTTGTGATTTCATTACGTTTATTTTTAAATTGGCAGGTGGCAACTGTGAATAATGCACTTAAAACCCCATTTATCTGTGACTTCAATGTACATGACACTTATAGAAGTCTATTGGGTGTTACAGTGGAGCTTATTGCATGACCCTGCTAGAATGTATCTTTTGTGGGTTGGCCATGTTCTATAATTTCTGAAATTGCATATTATTAGGGATATCTATTCTCATATTCATTTCAAATGTATGATCTCCAAGAAAGATGTGATTGTGATATTGTTAGTCAGTAGGAGAGCTATTTATATTGTATTTATGCCCCGACCAATCACTTTGTTGGTTTATGCATATACCTGGTCTTGTTTTACCTAGAAGTTCAGTTTCATTCTCGGGTTTGGCATTCCCAATCATATGCAGCCAGACCAAGGTGATTTCTTGACACAATTCTTGTTGAAAATTTGTTGCCTCTGTCTCCCATGAATGTTGTCGCTTCTCCTGGAGTGTTTTGCGATAGTATCAAACTTTGCCAAAGATTGCTGGTGGAGCATATCCTTCTTAGTTATTGTGCTGCTGGTGAACTTGATGTGTCCCCTTTAGACACTCCATATTCAAAAGTTGTGAGAGACAGTATCTTGTTTCATAAGAAGCTATTATAATGGTAACAGTATGTGTACAATAGTATGAGAGATGGAGTATAAGCTCAACCTTCATTGAGTTTCTGAAAAAGGCATTCAAACCCTTAGAATTCCTCATGTGAAGATGACAATTGAGCATTCCAGCCAATGCACATGTAGTCTAGGAAGAGTATCATTTGAAGCCTCAAATAGATTTTGGTTAAAGTTTTCATGCACAGAAGGCCCAAAGCACTCCATCATTCTGAAGCACATTTCTTGAGCGTTTGATTTAGTCAAGTAATATTTGTTCCAAGGTTTAGATCAGACATGTTCTGCGTGAAGAGTATCGAATCCAAGGTCATTCCCGTCATTCAGAAAATGTCTTGGAGATTGAAAAGAAGCTTAATGGTAATTTAGTGGTTGTGTGGTGAGTCTGTAGGCAAGGGATCAACAAGAGAGCTGAAATGAAGACTTCAAAAGGACATCCATTTCCTTTGATCACCTATGGGTTCCCATTTTTCTTGCATGTTCCTCGTATGCGTGAATCATCTAAAAATGGACGCCTGATTTTATTGATATCAGTCACATTCTCAAAAGGTAATTTCAATAAATTATTTCTCATTATCAATCACTATTCATTGAGGATTGATCTGCCCCACCTGATTTGATCCCTTTTGCTGATGCTGACTAGGTAAAATGTCTAGATTATAGGAGGCCCACAACTTTATCCTAGTTTTTGTTTCGCTCCTCCCAAATTTTGTAAGGACAAGAAACAAGGCGACTACATTGCTTTATGCTCTTTATGCAACGGATTGCTGTGATTTTCATTAGGAGTTGAACCAAATGTTCACCTTTCTATGTTGACAATATGATCGCAATCATCATCATCTCTATTCATGGCTCATGAGAACAGACATCCAACTTCCATCAATTTTCTCCCAGATTTAGATCTCTTATAGTTTAACTAGATTGATGATTAATGAGAAAAATCTATCCTTTATTGTGCATAATGTTTCAAAAAACTTTAGGCATCCTGTTAATTTTGTTGTTTTTTTGGCAATTTATATGTATTCCAGCTCACTTTTTCCATGCAAATATATACACATGAATGGTGAAGCACATTGAAAACTTCATGTCATTGAAAATTTAGTGAAAAAAATAGAAAACATAAACTAGTCAACCATCCAATCCAAACTGAGTATGGCATACTCCATACTGACACATGAACACTATTAGAACTATAGACAAGATGAAATTCCAACAATGAAGAGTAAGCTTATGGATGTTTCTTAAAATCTCAGGGTTTTTTTTTTTTTTAGTTCACATAGATCTCAAAAGATCAATAGATTTGGAGGCTTAGATTCGAGTTGTTTTTTCATTTTGGGAATTTAGAATACCCCCAATAGCCGCTTATGAAAAAATGGTGGGTCAAAAAAGTACTTTAGTCTCAATTCTCAAAAAAAAAAAAGTACTTTAGTCTAAAAAAAAGGGCCTAGTACTTGGCCGCCCGCCTGGCCGGGTGCCTAATTAGTAGTTCCCAAGGAGGACCGCCTAGCCCTGGGGGTACGCCCTGAGGTCTGCCGGGGGCCTAGATGGACTGTTTTTTGAAACAATGATTGTACGAATTGATGCTTGTAGATTCGGCTATGTTCTAGGTTGTTAACAGTACGTTAGCAATTATATCCTGTATGTTTTCTCTTTTAATGTTGAGGTTGAATAATCGCTATTACTTTACTTTAGTTATTTGCCGTTTCATTATTTTGTTTATATTGTAACCACTGCCCATGATGATACACATAACCTCTTAACGAAAATTCTGAGGTCATGGTGCATAGTGTCTTTCAGGCTTGTGGGAGTGGCAGCAGTTTATCCCTCTGGAGTCTTCCTACGTATGATTGCATTTGGAGCTATGAGACTCAATTTCCAATTCAAGATGCATTGTTTGATAAGAACCAGGTTAGTCCATGTGCCTCTTATTGTTAGCATGGTATCTTCTTAGTCCTCTTTGTGTAGTTTGTTCTGTAAAAGTTCATACCATTGAATTTGTAGTTAAACTCTTGTTCACCATAGTATCTTCAACCCATTTTTGTGCATTGTTCAATCGAGTGAAATACCACACAAAGATATGGAGTGGGTCTCGTTTTTTTTTTTTGGTAGCAAAAGGATCTGGTTGGTTATGAAATATTTACCTCGCATTCCCATTGTGATTAGAGAATTTATTTTTACTATGGTATGCCATGTTAATTATATTAATACATATGTGAGGTTGTCCCATTCATTCTTTATTATTTGCCCATATCAGAGTTTTGGGATCTCAAATGTGATAGGAAACTTTTTTTTGTTGTGGATTGAACTTCCCACATACAGTCCCTATGAGATTGGAAGAATATCTACCTAAAATGATGTAACATGTTGATAATATTAGAACACGATCTGTAAGTAAGACTACTGTCACTCAATTTCGCAATTTTTGTTCACAGCATATAGAAACATACATATACAGACTCATGCATTCAAGGAATTAATTTACCAATAAACACCTGTTGAGAGTATCTCATTTATGAGTTACTCTTTCATATCTTAGTAGACTTGAGTGATGTGCTTATAGGATGTGTATCACAACCTCTTGTTCCGATAATTATTCCTTTCCCCCAGTGTTTTCTCGTATATATTATTCGATCTTGTTGCATAGGCTTTTATGCATGAAGAAAAAGTGGAAAATTAAATTGGACTTTTTTTCTGAACCTTAAACAAGTAAAATCAGTAGTAGTTGAGAAAATCATAGCTGTAAACAAGCCAGGAGGAGAACTTTCTTCTTTCATAAAATAAAATTTATTTCAATAATAGCCCCCCAAAATTTGACATGCAACCTTTTATAAGCCTATCATCATTATCATAACCTTTTCCCAATTAATTGGGGTCGGCTACACGAATCCTGGTCTACTATTCTACTATATTAAAGGCCATACCCTCAGTGAGGCCATAAGTCCCCATATCTTTCCGAGCTACTTCCAACCACGTCTTTTTAGGCCTACCCCTTACCCTTTTAAGTCCTTCTCTAACTCGCACCTCCTAACAGGTGCTAAACTTGATCGGCGCCATACATGGCCAGCCCGCCCAAGTCTTCTCTCTCTCATCTTATCACCTATCGCTGTCGCATCTAAATTCTCCTGAATGGATTGATTTCGAAATCTATCCTTTTTTGTCTTGTCATTCATCAATATCTGCTATACTCATTCTATGGGTATATTATTTTTTGTTCGCCCAACATTCAGCCCCATAGGGCAAAGCTGGTCTCACAGCTGTCCTATAGAACTTGCCCTTCAACTTCATTGGTATGCGGCGATAACATAAAATTTCAGTTGCACATCTCCACTTAGCTCACCCAGCTCTAATTCTACATGCTGCATCTTCCTCAATCTCTCCATTTTCTTGGATTATCGACTCAAAATATCGAAAGTGCGGTCTTTTTTATACTTCCTGGCCGTCAATCTTAACTACTTCATCGTCTCTACTTCTATTGTTACTAAACCTTTTATAAGCCTATAAAACCCTAAAATCAACTTGAGACCCAAGTAAACAATTTAAAACTCTAAAATACTCCTAAATAATACCAAAATTCCAGAAATACCCCTGTGAACGGTACCCATTAACAGTATATGTGAGCAGTACCATGAACAATACTCTTGAATGGAAACCAGTGAGTAGTAAAAAAATATAAAAAAACACTATAATCCTTAAAAAAAACTTAAAAAAGCCTAGAAATAGACTATAAAACTAAAATTAAAATCCACATCCTTTGAAGTTAAACAAATATTAAAAATAAGAATAATTTTGCCATCCATGATTCTTCCTTGGTTGGAGTAAATTCATCCTCGAGTTTTAAACCGAGCTAGGTTGAATTTTGTGTTAAACCCATGATCTTCTTCAACCTTGAAGGCCTTGTTACGATCATCAGAACCAATGAGTTATAAGCGGACCGCCCAGCGCCTAGGCGGTCCAGAAGGCCTGGGTGCATCGCCCAGGCCTAAGCGGCTAAACTAGGCGGGCGGTCCCTGGGAGGCCACCTAAGAGGTACGACACCCACCTTGGCGGCCCTGGGTGGCCGCCCAGGGGCGGAAATACTATTTGTTGAGGGTTTTTTTGAAAAAAACATTGTTTTTAAATGTGAGTTTTAGGTTCATTTGAAACCTAAACCTACTAGAGCCCATTTTAGAGAGAGAGAAAAGCCTAATAAAAAAAACTAGATTTTGTGATTTTCATTGGATCAAACTGTTTCTTAAAGTTATAGGAAATGGATCCAAACATCACCCATTAATATTATATTTAGTTTTGGAGTTTTTTTAGGCCTATTGGAAGGTGTTTTGAATATTTTAGCACTATAAAACATCTTAGAGGTGGAAGTTTGGAGTTCGAGCAATCAAAGTAAGTGCAAAAATTTATTTTTTAGATTGGTTGTATTATTTTGAGATGTCTTCTTTAGGATCTAGTCAAAGTGGTGATCCGGGTTGGAAATATGGATATAACTCGAATTCGAATGACAAAAATTTGCGTAAGATGCAATTATTGTGAAAAAGATACAAAAGGGGGCATAAACTGGTTTAAGAAACATCTTGCCAGTATTAAGGGGACTGTTGCCCCTTGTAAAAGTGTTCCTGAAGCTATTAGAGAGGAGATTAACCAATATATGAGTTCATTAAAACACAAACAGGAATAAATTCCTTATCATTTGGATAGGTTTATTTCTTGTTCTACTAGAAGAAGTGATCCGGGTTGGAAGTTTAGTTATAACCTGAAACCAAATGATAAAAATTGTATAAGGTGTTATTTTTGTGAAAAATATACCAATGGGGGTATTAACCGATCCAAGAAACTCCTTGCCGATATTAAAGGGAATGTTGCATCTTGTAAAAAGGTTCTTGAAGCTATTCGGGATGAGATTAGGCAATATTTGAATTTAGTAGAATCAGAAAAGGATGAAAATGAGTCTTGTTCTATGGAAATATCTTCTTCAGGTTCTTTTAGAAGTGGTGATCCGGGTTGGAAGTATGGTCACAACCCAAATCCAAATGACGAAAGTCGTACTAAGTGTAATTATTATAGAATGAATACTAATGTGGGTATTTACCGGTTCAAAAAACATCTTGCCGGTATTAAGGAGGATGTTGCCCATTGTAAAAATGTTCTTGGGGCTCCCAGAGAGGAGATTATACAATATTTGAGTTTAGAGAAGTACAAAAAGAAAGAAAACGGTGAAGAGGCACTAGGTAGAGCAGCCAAGACTCCTAGGGCCTCATCTGCACAAAATAAGAGGAAGGTAAAAGAAAAGGAAGAAGAGGCAAATTTAGAAGAAACTTACGAGGACGAGCGGTATGTTGAAGAGGGAGATGGCTCTGATGATGAAGGCCTCGAATCTGATGCATATGATGAGGCTTACCCTACTCTTTCTAATGATGATGATGATGATTGAAGAATAAAGAGTTGAAGACGCTTGACTCTTGTCCTTGGTGTTGACTATTGAGTCCTGGACTCTATATTTTTAGAATTTATGTATATTTTTTTTCTTATTGTTAGTTTCTAGTTTATACTATCTCACTCTTGTGTGTATGCTAGTATGGTTCCAGCATTGTATGCAAATATGGATTATGGACTATCTAAATTCTCCTCATTCATTAAATACTTAAATTAACATTTTTCTTTCTACTAGGCCGCTTAGGTTCTGAGCACCCGCCTAAGTTCGGGGCACCCGCCTAGGCGTTGGGTGGCCTGGACCCCCCTCGGACGCCTAGCGCTTTTTGAAACACTGCTTAGAACAATATTCAAACTTTTCTATCTTTTGATACACAACAACTCAATAATATATGTGATCATCATCAATCTTTTTTTTTTTTTTGAGAATGTTTCAATTCATCATCAATCTTTTTATTAGTGAAATAAGATGCATCTTTATGATCAGGCTCCATGTTTTTTTTATAATTCTTAATCATATTCCCAAAATCCTCATATGTTCTAGCCTTCCTGCTTTGTGCCTCCTTTATCACCTTTTTTTGGCATCTAAAATCTTTATAGGCTCAAGCTCCTCTGGGTTCAAGTCAACATCTTGCTTCTTCATTTCGCCATTCACGAGGAAATTAGATATCCTTGCTGCCTCAAGGCCAACTTCTTTCCTATCATCTTGTTCTTCATCAGATATAAGACCTTCATCAAAGATGAGTTACCCGTGACATTAAGGAATGATGATTCCAATTGGGGAACCAAACCTACTTGTTCTTCACCTTCAATTGGTTCCTCATCAAACTTAGATCGATTAACTTCAACGTTGAAATCCCACAATCTACTCTTCCGAACATGAGGCTCCCAGCAATGAGTGCATGCATAGAATGTGTTCTAAAAAACAATGTCCAACTCATAACCGCTATCATCATGCATTGAGGCTGATTCATGTCATTCTCCATAAAAACCCACACGATCTGGATCTATCCCAGTATTCCTCTTCATTTAGGGCACGTTGTTGTTGTTCTCGTTTGCGCAACAATAGCTTTGTAGCCCTCTCCATCAAGTTGTTGATTTCCTTGTGCAATTGGATCAGATTGGTATCCTTATGACTAAGGCCTCCATGACCAGCCATCATAATATTTAACCGTCTTCGAAACATGCGCTGATACAAATTTGATGTAGAAAAATAGAGAAAAGAGGTATAAAACAATTCAATAACCATCAAAACAGGCTAGATTTGAGTGGATCTAGCTTTTCTAGCATACAAAAGTGACCTTAAAACCCTAGATAGGGCTTGCTGGTGCTATTCACAATATGTTTTTGCTATTCACACCCCAAAAGTGTTAGAAACCCTAATCACTCTAGGCCTTTTTATTACATTATAATAGAAAAAGACCAAAACTACCTCCTCTTAAGTTAAAACATTATAAAACTACTCCATAAGTCCCTTCACTTAAAAGAAAATTCGTAGTGACCTTTTATCCATCCCTTCACTTAAAAGAAAATTCGTAACAACACTTTTAACCCTGATAAAACAAGTAATTCTATTAGTATTCGAACTACTTTTCTAAACATCTCCTTAAAATTCTAGAAAATATAAAAAAAAAATCCTAGACTGGCTAAAAAAACTTAAAACCCCTAAAAAATAGGGAAAATTGCTGATACCCCCCCCCCACACACCCCCCTCCCCCCAAAGTAAACTTTCTAGACAGCCTCCCCCGAACCAAAATTTTTTCACAACTTTTACCCCAAAACTATGTTTTATAGCAAATACCCCCCAAAGCAAAAAGTCATATTTGTTTGGAAAAAAATGCCCTTTCCCATATATAAGAAATCATGTTTGGTCAGACATTGACATGGACAAGATTGTAGGACCTACTACATGGTATTGTCGGACTGGGGCTGCACACTGCTAGACCCATTGCATCATACTGCTGGATTGAGGCTTCACAATAGTGCCAGACCAAGAGAAAAAGTGCTAGATCGAGAGCAAAAAGTGCCGGACCACATGAAGACTAATCAAGCCACAACTGTCAGACCGAGACATGGATGTGTCGGACCGTTTAAACAAGTTGCAGGACCCTTGGTTAAAGTTCCAGACCGTGGGCAAATTACGTTGAGATGCTGGACCGAGATAGGTGAACGTTGGACCGAGAGACGGGAAATAGTGCGTGGGGGTGTGGTAGACTTCGGGGTGATAGGTGCATTTTTGTCTAAAAAAATGACTTTTTGACTTGGGGGGTATTTGCTATAAACTTGGTTTTGGAGTAAAAGTTACGAAAAAAAGGTTGGTTGGGGGGAGGTTGCCTAGAAAGTCTACTTTGGGGGGGGTCTCTGCAATTTTCCTAAAAAATAACGCTAGAAAAATCCAAAAACACATCCATAAAATTCACTAAGAAAAATTAAAAAATAAGACGCATCTTGGCTTGCATCAAGCTTTTTTATTTTACTTTGAATATGGTAACTCTTTTAAGCTAGAAGTGAGTGCAAGGCTCATATAAGGTTTTGCAAGGCTTCTTGCAAAACCTTATATGAACCAATATGAAGTTTAAGTTACTGAGTTTCTGTTTAGGAGGTGCTCGTTTCTAGAGCGCTCATTATTTGTGTTGCATTTAGAGGACGTCTGCAATTTTCCACATTATCTCCTATTTTTTAGGTAGTGGCAGCCCACAAACAAACCGGGTGCTTAGGATATAGAAAGGAGAGAAGATGTAAAGGAGAAAACTTGGGGTTTAAAAGAGAAACACTACATGTTAGGTGAAGAAGATTTAAACAACTACAAGCTAAACTGCAAAAGAAAAGAACTCTGGTCTTCTTCAGGGGGCAGCAGGTAAGGCACGGCACAGACTTCTTGTGGGGTTTCTGTGTAAATTGGGGCTGCGACTTTGACGATGCAAGATCTTCTTATGAGACTAGTGTTCTTCTACCAGCAGGGTCTTCTGACAATAGAGGACAACCGCACCATCTGAAAGGGCAGCAGCAATGTTTAGGAGGGGCAGGTGCTTCAGCGAGGCATACTCTTACTTGCGACAGAAGCAAGGGGAGGAGAGAAGAAAGGGGGAAGGAAGAAGAGCAGCTAGAGAGAGAAAGGGGCAGAGAGGAGAGGAATAAAAGTGTGAGAAAGAAGAGCAGACAGAATAGGGGAGGCGAGGGAGGAGGAAAGGGGGTGAAGAAAGAGCTGTAGAAATTAAGGGATGAAGAAGAGTGTTGAGAGGAGGAAAGAAATGAAAAATAGAAGTGAACCGAGAGAAGGGGTGGTAGAGAATAAAGGGGAAGGAAGACAGTGGAGAACATAGCTTGAAAACATAAGCTAGAGAGAGAGATGCTTGTCTTAACTAATTTCATGTGTTTGGGCTCTCTTTTAGACTGAAGGTGTAAGTATTTATGATTTATCCTATCTTCTTTGTAATGTTTGTAAGCTCGAAAGAAATAAGAAATGTTGTCTCGCATTTATTTAATAACGGACCCTTAGCATTTTATGTTTGGGGTCATTTGACTCAATGTGAAGCTATTACTATCATTTATCATATATACCCTCCATAATGATAGTAAACTGAAAAGAAATTAGAGATCTCAATTCCTTTGCATGTCTTCACTTGCTCTTTGATTTCCTAGTGCAGATTCTTGCGGTTGGGGCAGAACCAGTTCTTACTCGTTTCAACATTGATGGGAAGGTTCTGTCCCAGATACAGTGTGCTCCTCAATCAGCGTTTTCAGTTTCACTACATCCCACTGGCGTATGTATTTTCATTATTTTTCGATGATAACTTAGTTTGACATACATGTCCATGAGCATGCATACATTTAAAGGTTTACATTCTTGCATATATCCATCTCTGGGAGTGCTACTGTATTCAAGTGCAGGAGATTGTTGTGATACGTCTACATCCGTCTGTGCTTCTATATCTAGTTGAATCAGTCTCCCAGCATGCATAGCTTAATATCTGTTATTTCTTTATTAGTGGATATTGCATGTAAGACAATGCCTCTACATCCTTATGTGTTTCTATATCTGGTTGAATTAGTGTCCCAGCATGCATAGCTTAATATTTGTATATTTGTGGAAATATTAGCATTGTTGTAACAAAAAAGGACAAGGGGTAAGCGCAAAAGGACATGGTTGGAAGTAGTGAGAAAAAATATGGGGACTTATGGCCTCAATGAGGGTATGGCCCTTAGTAGAGCAAAGTGGTGAATCAGGATTCGTGTACCCAATCCCAATTAGTTGGGAAAAGGCTTTGACGATGATGATTAGCATTGTTGTAACCTTGAAATCATGTTAGCCTGATTTTAGTTGTGTTCACATTATTTAGTTGTTATTCAGTGGTTCAAATAGCTAGGGAACATCTTGATGCCTCGTGAGCTGGTGAGAACATGAATTGAGCCTTATCAGTTGCATATCATAAACAACTTGAGTTTCTAGTTACTTTTTCCAAGCAAAACCTTTTTACAACACAATTTTCTTTCATGTTGAGTTAGCATTGGAGTCAACTGTTTGGGCCCCAGCTTGGACAGACCAATTGAAGTATTTGTCTCTCTGCCCCGTTTTCATGAGAAGGTAAAAGTGGATGTTTGGCGTGCTCCACTTCAAGCAAGTCCCATTGCTCACCCTGTATGCATGAATAGGGCCTGTCTATCTGCCCTGTCTAAATGATTGGGGAAAAGAAGAAAAACAAAAAGAAAAAAAGAACGACTCTTTTCCCCTATCTCAAGTAAACCCCATTTTTCCTTCCCCGCAGATGTTACTGGAACATCAAAGTCAGCCCTTAATACTTTTATTCCATTGATTTCGTTCTTATATGTTGTGGACCAATCTTTGATGATATTGTTGAAAAGACAAACTCTGCATTTCTTGAACTTAGTATATGTCCATGTTTTAGTCATCCATTATGTTAGATGCATGTTTTGGAAACAGTAGCAGCTCTGTCCTGATGCTATCAGTTTGAATTCACCTGACTCACCCTCGTTCTAGTCTCAATTGACACCTGACCTATCAAGAAACTCCAGGTGATGTGACACACTCAATGGACTGAATTGAGTTGGCAAATTCTATACAAGACTCAATTGAGTCACGACCCTGTTGAATCCATACCCTTATTTATTTATTTAACTATAAACCAGTTTGGGTTATAAGTTTCCTTGAGGCAACATAAGGTCATAAGGGAGTACGAGACAGCCCTCCCCATTTTTGCATCAACGCTGACTTAAACACGAGCTTTCTGTAAACTAGAAACAAAGGGTAGACCAAAAATTGTTCAGATTTCTGTGGAAGCCCTCTCCGTGTTTTGACAAAACTCAGAAGACCAAAATGGGGAAAATCTTTTGACTGGTAAAATTGAGCTTGTGATTTTGTTTACCTGTTGTGCTTTGATTCAATCAAATAATTCATGTAAGAACTGATTTCTCAGTCCTTAAACGCAGTAGATGATTGATCATCACTCCCGATTGATTATCTTTGATTGAGCAATGGCCTTCCTTTTTTCCAATTTTTGTTATTCGTTTTGTCTAGATATGTTTTCAGTACATTATTTGTTTGCCTGCATGTGCCGTGTTTGTTTGTGTGAGCAGGCATGTGGTGCATGTGAGCATGTGTGTGCATTTGTTTTCTTTGTGGTAGGTAGCAGGTGGGAAGGAGAACTTAACACAAATCATATATGATTTTAAGAATCGAAATTTTTTTTATGTACTTGTCAAAAAGCGAGGTACTTTAACATGTAAGATGACTAAGCATCCATTGGACATTCTCCATCAACAAAAGTTTTTGCTTTTCATGTTATATTTTTCAATCCTTGTAACCTAACTAATGAGTAATCTATCTTGTGACTGATTTCTTGGGCCACAAATTTCTTTTATTTTGTTTCTGAATTTTCATTTGAGTTTCATACGAGTGAAACCATGTTAACGTGATCCCTTATCTTGTTGAACTTGGCGAAAAAGAAATAAGAAAAATCTTCGTATTTCAATTTCCTAAAGGTTACCTGATATTTTCCCCAATCCTCAGAGATCAACATCCACCTCTCTCAAGTCGCTGTACACAAGTGTATGCTTTAGCTTCCATGTGAATATTTAGCTTAAGAATCCACTGCAACATGGGGAAAGCATGGATATGTTGTCACTCAGACACATGAATTCTTGGGAAAAAAATTTTGTTTCTCGTAATTTGACGGGAATGTCAGTGATTGGAGTTATATTTGGCAATAACATCATTACAGTTGTTTCAACAAGAAAAATGAAGAAATAGGTCTATTGATTTAATATTAATTGAAGTCTCCTTGCTCATTAAAAGCAAGGTCAGAAATAAATGGAATTACTATTGTTGTAACAACTACGATAGGATTGTTACTTAAGTTCACTATTTAAATTGACCTGTCATACTGGTTTTAAATAATTACTATTAGAACTGGAAGGTCCCCTGGCCATCATAGCAGTCTAGCTTTTATTTGAACCGTTAAATCTCTTAATGTCATGGACCCTGCAGGTTGCTCTAAATGTATCCATTTCTGGAAAACTTTGTCCCTCATCTTGTGAGGCCTCTCCACCTCCCTTTAGAAGTAGGCATCGCAGATGTTCTCTCTATTACTGACAAACCTTTCCAAATTTAAACATATTCCAATTTGAACTTCCACTCTGATCAGGCAGTCTCCAATCTTCTTGCTTCTACCTGACCATGACTGCTTTCTCGTCCTTTTTAAGTGAAACCGCACTGGCTTTTCTAGGGACACAGAAAAACTATGATCCTGCCACTTCTTCTACTTGCAAGATGCAGCATTAGTTAGGTTCCCTATGCCCATCCTGTCTTGCACAGAGGACGGAGATAAGATGGGCTTGGATTAGTTGTAAAAAGATGCAGCATTATTCAGGTTCCCTATGCCCATCCTGGTTTTAAATAATTACTATTAGAACTGGAAGGGCCCCTGGCCATCATAGCAGTCTAGCTCTATTTTGAACTGTTAACCTCTTAATGTCATGGACGCTGCAGGTTGCTCTAAATGTATCCATTTCTGGAAAACTTTGTCCCTCATCTTATGAGGCCTCTCCACCTCCCTTTAGAAGTAGGTCTCGCAGATGTCCTCTCTATTACTGACAAACCTTTCCAAATTTAAACGCATTCCAATTTGAACTTCCACTCTGATTAGGCAGTCTCCAATCTTCTTGCTTCTACCTGACCATGACTGCTTTCTCCTCCTTTTTAAGCGAAACCGCACGGGCTTTTCTAGGGACACAGAAAAACTATGATCCTGCCACTTCTACTACTTGCAAGATGCAGCATTAGTTAGGTTCCCTATGCCCATCCTGTCTTGCACAGAGGACGGAGATAAGATGGGCTTGCATTAATTGTAAAAAGGTGCGGCATTATTCAGGTTCCCTATGCCCATCCTGTCTTGCACAGAGGACGGAGATAAGATGGGCTTGGATTAATTGTAAAAATGAAAAAAAGTAGGTATGGGTTACCTGAATATGTCCTTATCTTCATTCCTGCTAACGATCTGCACTTGATTGAATCATAAAAGCGATTCATTTCATGCAACTGCACTTGATTGAGTCATAAAAGTGATTCATTTCATGGCCAAGCATCAACCTTAGGTTGGAGAGTTAGGAAGTGTCTATGAACTGGTAATTTGGCTTGTAAGTTTATTTATATGTCTTTTCACCTAGATATATCCATTTGCTTTTTGTGGAAACATGGCCTGGAGATTTCCTTAAACCTTTTAAATATTGGTTCAGGTTGTTTCGGTTGGAGGCTATGGAGGATTGGTTGATGTTATGTCAGAATACGGGACCCACTTGTGTGCTTTCCATTGCAGAGGTATCTGCCTATGATGAGGAAACTGCCCTGTCAAGCTTATTCAGCAGTCACAAGGTACTCAACCAATGTAGGTGGTATGTAAACATAATTCAGAGCTGGCATGCTATTCGTCATTCCATAAATGCTCAAAAGGTCTCTCTCTCTCTCTCGCTCTCTCTCTCTCGTATCTTATGCATTGGAGGTTGGTATGATCTTACTCTTTGTTTGGGGAGGCTAAATTTTGGGAATAGGGTCATTTTCTCCCTCCACCCATTTAGCATTTAGAAACAGCCGAGCGTAATATGCTGCTATATTCACTGGTGCCTTCTTTTTGTGACCCCGCTTGTGAACAAGATGCTGCTAAAACCCCATTTGTAAATTATTTTCTTGCTCTGTGGAGCTGTTAAACTGTCCAAATGGGGTTTGTCTTATGAAAGTTATAATGTTTCACAATTCTGAGCGATTATAGTTGTTGAACAATTTTTGTTGTTATTTTTTGTAATGGGATTATATATTATACGACCATTTAGTTTTGAAATTAAAACAATCACAATCAATCTTAGTTGTCTGATGTGAAATTAGGTGGTTAGGGGTGTCATGTCTCTTTACAAAGTCAGAAAAAAATTCTTGGATTTTGAGCAGGGTCAGTGGCTCACCTTCAACTGCCCAGATTCCACATATGACAGGTGGGGTAGATTGTGAACTTTTTGTGCTGAAAATAGACAATATTTTGTAGACTTATATTACTATCAAATAGTAGATAGGCCGTTCACAAAGGAGATGAGAATCATGATAATCCTTTTCTTGTGGCAGGTTTGGGTTCAAGTTAGGCAGAGATAAATATGGATGCGGAGACAATTGAGTCATTTTTCTTTTCTTTTTTTCTTTTTCTTTTTTGGGGATTTGGGTGAGATAATAAATCCCTTATGTGTGTGATAATAAATCTATATAATGTGGGTTGTCTTGATGGCAACGGGCTATGAAATTCCAGCTTATTTAAACAACATGCATCTCAACAACACCCTTCCAATTTATATTACATTCTGGTACAGTAGGATGGTGAGTTTGACAAGTTGTATAGATTTCCCACTTTGTAAATTGCAACTCAAATCATCATTATCATCATCCTCAGAGCTTTTTCCTAATTATTTGGGATCTAATCCGTCATTCTGGTCTGTTAATTGCCATACCCTCAGTGAGGCCATAAGTTCATATATCTTTTCTCACTATTTCCTACCATGTCCTTTTAGGCATGTCTCTTGTCCCTTTTGGGCCTTCCACTTGAACTAGCTCACTAACATGTTTATACTGGGTTTGTGCTACACAGTCAGCCCACCGTAGTCAACTTTCTCTCATCTTATTGCCTAAGTTCTTTCTAATTATTTATTTGGAATTCTATCTCTTATTGTTTTGCTACTCATCCATCTCAGGTACATTCATCTTATGAGCATGTTGCTTTTTAATTGTCAACATTCCACTTGTTAAGCAAAGCTGGTTTCACATCTAAGTTCTTTCTAATTATTCATTTTGAATTCTATCTCGTATTATTTTGCTACTTATTCATCTCAGGTAAGTATGTTGTTTTTTAATTGCCCAACATTCCGCCGATTAAGCAAAACTGGTCTCACATCTATCCTATCTTCAGCTTCATTAGTTTGCGGCGATCACATAAAACTGCAGTTGCACATCTCCACTTCGCCCGCCCAGTTCTAATTATATGTGCGACATCTTCATCAATCTCTTCATTTTCTTGGATTATCAGTACGCTCTTTTTGGTATTTTTTGGCTATTAATGTTACCAATTTCCTCGTCTCTACTCTTATTATTACTTAATTTACATTTGAAATGCATTAGTCCGGCTAATTTAAAAACCTTTAGATTCTAGAGCATCTCTCAAAATTTTTAGTTTTGTGTCGACAATGTTGCGGGTCTCATCGATCAAAACTATGCCGTCTGTGAACAACATACACTATTATACCTCATCTTGTAGGTGCTTGGTTAAGTCGTCCATAATTAAGACAAGGAGGTATGGGCTCAACGCTGATCCTTGATATAGACCTATGGTTAACGAAAGCTCATTCGTCTCTCCACTAATGATTCACAAACTAGTCAGGTTGCCTCATACATATCTCTCACCAAGTCGATGTAGTATGGGGGACTCATTTCTTTTCCATCACCCACCAAATTAAATCTCGATGTACTCTATCATAAGTTTTCACTAGTTCGATAAAGACTATGTGGAGGTCTTTACTTTTCGCCGTAAACTTCTCAATCAGTTGTCTAAGTAGGAAAATACCCTTAGTTGTTGACCTCCCTAGTATAAAACTGAATTGGTTTTCTAATACGCTCGTTTCATGCCTTAGTCATTGCTCAATCACTCTCTCCCACAACTTCATAGTGTAGCTCATAAGTTTGATCCCTCGATAGTTCACATAATTATGTATGTTTCCTTTGTTCTTGTAATTAGGTACTACAATATTTTCTCCATTTATCTGGCATTTTCTCTATTCTCAACATCTTGTTGAACAACTTGGTCAGCCAATCAATGTTGATCTCCCCCATGTACTTTCAAACCTTTATTGGGATATCATCTGATCCTAAAGTCTTTGTTATCTTCATCTTCTTCAGATCATTTTTCACTTCTAATATCTTAATTCTTTGAATGTATCTATGACCGCCACCTCATTTATACCAACAATTCATTCCATCACTACCACCTCATTTATACCTCTTTTGTTTGACTTGTGACATTATCTATTTTTAGGTAATTTAGTGGGAATGATAGACCGTTACCCGTTTTTGAACTAGTTAGTGGTTTTTTGAAGGTGTGAATAGGAATGTAAGCCACAATGTGCAACTGAGGTATGGAGTATGCTACCACTACGACCTCAGCCCTAACTCATTTGACTCGTGACATATTCACATCATTTGTAAACCTTATTTTTTCCTCCAATCTTTCCACCAGGGAATCTAGTTTTTCTTCTCTCTTTTATCTGTTTTTTTTTTTTTTGTTCATTTAGTTTGATAAAATGGTTTTTTTTCTTTTTTTTTTTATTAAGTAGTTTGATACAAGATTTTGAGATATGAAAATGCCAAACTAGCCCTCAAAGGATAGTTGCTTTGGGAGTTTTAATTGGCCAAGATATTGTACTATTACTTTTAGTATCTACGTTTTAAATTTGCTTCGTGAGGAAGGTTTTGGGATATCTGACCAACAATAGAAATACATGTTAGCTTCTCTTAAACTAATTGATGATACACATTATTTCCCACCACTACATAAACTGCTATTATATTCTAATGGCATAGCTCCTCTTCGAGTATACTATGTCAGCTATTGAAATTCAACATGGCAGTTTCACATTAAAAAAAAAACCATTGCAGTTTCTCATACTTGAATTTTTAGCTGTTGGCTTTTGTGTTAGATTAGATGGATGGCTCAGATCATGACACCACATATTTATATAGAATCTAGATCAATCACATTATCAATATTCTACTTTTGTTAAATATCAACAACATCCATCCAATCATGTGACCTCTCCCGTAAAGTGATTCAAGAAGGAACAAAAAGTATGTGAGAATGGAATAAAGAAAAAAAAAGGTCTCCCAACAAAGTATTTGCAATGAGAAGAGCCTTGGAAGGTAGAATAAAATTAAGATCAAGGGTTATGGTTTGATAATAGAGTGATTCAAGAAGGAACAAAAAGTATGTGAAAATGGAATAAAGAACAAAAGTCTCCCAACAAAGTATTTGCAATGAGAAGAGCCTTGGAAGGAAGAATAAAACTAAGGTCAAGGGTTATGAACTAGAATTCATGTAGTCGATCTCAATTAGTGGGAAAAATGCTCTGACCATGATGATGATGATGGTTTACGGTTGGAGAATAGGGACCTAATTTTCTAGGAGATGCCTTTCTTTGCATAGTTGTGTTTTCTTAATGCTATACTGTTATTCGATAGTTGGTTTTTTAAGTAAAGCTGTTGTTACCTTAGCAGCTGAGAAAGCGTTTTCCTAGCCTTTTCTAGCACTCCCAAGTAATGTTGTGAGAAAAGTGCTCCACCTATTTAGGTGTGAAAGCGTATTCCCAGCTGAGAAAAATATCTATTGTCGAAAGCTTTCCCAGGGCTCCCGAAAATTGCTTTCATAGGAAACAAATGTGCCCTTCTTGTGATTTATTTTGTAGGAGATGCATGAGAGTCTATCCACATATAGATAAATACTATGCTGGTCAATGACATGATCCCTAATGGAACTGGCTGCATTGGAAGTGGTTGAGTTGTGTTAAGATAGCTCTCCTGATTTGCAACGCTCATCAGCTTGTAGTTTACGGAGTTTCATAGAGTGCACTTTCATTAGTCGCTAGGGGATATAGGGTAGGGCATTTGTATTCCTTACATGTCTTAATCTTATGTTACAAAGACACGGATACATGTCTCAGATTTTGCCATGGCTATGAGTGTCAAAGATGTCAACCTCCATTAATCACTGGCAGTTACTCAGGAGCATGGATATCCATAACATATGCTAGTCCATGTTACAAAGACAGATATGTATGTAACTTTGTTAACTGTTGAATTATACGTTGTCAGCACCAATGTTCAAAAACTAATATAGTAATAAAACTTTTGTTGTTTAAGTGCTTCTTTTTTCTCTTCCTTTATGGAGAATGAGGAAATAGAGCCGTGTCGATAGATTTTAGTAAAAAGTTACATGAATTTAAGTAAGAACCATAGTTTCCCTCGTTTAATCTTCTCTACGTTCTTAATATGCTTGGGAAACACTAGAAATGGCACAATTCCTATAGACTTGATAATGCTTATGATCTTGTCAAGCATACACAAACTTTGTGGATTCTATATTTTTATACTATTTGAAATTTGATGGGCCGGGAAAAGGGTTGAGGTCGTAGTGGTAGTCCCCCCCATATCTCAGTTGTATGTTGTGGCTTTCATTTTCACTGACACCTTCAAAAATCACTAACCACTTCAAAATGGGTAGAGGCCTGTATTTCCCATTGGATTATCCAAAAATAAATAAAAATTTGGAGGGCCAAATTGCTACAATCTGCTGAAAGATTGTTAGGCACCTCTTATTACAACACAGCCATCATATTCTTCAAGAATTGATGGATTGTTTCTTTTTAACTTTCTATACGCCAAATGCATTTGTTCCAGTAATGATGCCAAAAAAAGGAAAAAAAGAGATTAAACCTCATATGTGGTTGTTGTATATTCTGAACCTTCCTTTTCTTGCACGAAGAGGCAGACAACAGAACAATCATCAACTCTGGATGATGGAAATTTGTGTTGCCATGCCTGGATTGCTGATTCCACAACATCTTTCGCAGCCGTTTCTTTGGTCTCAGCTGATGAAACTATTGAAACCACCTCTGTATTACTCAATGCATCCCAAACCTGCTCATCGCCAAGAAGCAGCCGCATATTTGTCATGCGTTCAAGAATTATAAGCCATTCTGGTACGCAAAGAATACAGCATACGCACAATTCCAAGTTTAAAAAGTTATAATCTATGCACATTGTGTGTAGTTTATGTATTGTATTGTATAGGATCATATCCATCATTCTTTATGAAGGATGGTGGAGATGAGTCGTTCCTCTGCCTCCAATCCACCATTATTGGCCAAGGCAGGCCCGACTCATCGCTAACGTCCTGCGTAGGAGATGGATCATTGAGATGAGGATATGTTATTACACATTGCTTGAGTTCTATAGAGCACTATTTCTTTTTATTGAAACCCTTTTGTGTGCCTAACCATATGCTATTAGGCCGAATTGTTTTGTTTGCCCTTTAGGAGATCATATGTGTGTGAGTATGTTAGTGTCCACTAGCAGCATATTTCATGAGTGGTTGGGAAATTGCAGATGCTATATGTGGGTGTGAATTACCCTTTCCCACAAAACAAACTTGTGAAAAAGCCCATTTTCCAGGGAAATGTTTCCTTAGTAGAACATTTTCTGAAAAATCAAACGATCCCGGAAGCTAATTTGGCTTTCAAAAGAATGTGGCTATTGCATTAAATGCCACAGCAGAGTGACATAGGTTCAGAACAAGTGTCATCGAAGGAAAAGAGACAAAAAACTGGATTTCTAGATTCAAAATAAGTATCATAGAAAGAAAAGAGGCAAGAAAAGAACCCGAGATTGGACACTCCATACCCCATCCGAAGCAAGAATGACAAACTGGTCTTTGCTTGTTAGCTTATGATGTGTCACTTGGGGCACTGCACTTAGGCCAAAATCTTTGAGCTGAAAGTCTCCAAAGGCTCTTGCCATTGCTAGCCCTGGACTGTCCTCATCCGGCAGCCACACCCTTTGAATTTTTGGCTCCTCTTTTAGAGCAAATACACGACCATTGCACTGCCTTATTCTCTCTGCCTCCTCTACATTCACATCACACTTGTGTCAATCACATTGTGTCATGCCGAAAAACAATCGCAATTAAATAAAATCACTGATTTAATTTTTTGCACTTTGATATAAACTATGCATTACTTTACGTGTATTTATCAAAAAAAAAGAAAACATTTTGCATATGATTAAAATAGAGGGGGCAGGCTCTATAGGCAGTTCAAATCTCAGAAAAGAAACAATGGAACCATAGGGAGTGAGGATTATTTATATTCAACTTCGACTGTGGGAAAGACTAAATTATGCTGCGAGTATCATTGTGTCAATCAACATCATTCCGTAAAATATACAAACTCTTCCCTCATCTTAATTTTTTGTAACAAAAATAACGGCCATCCATTATAGTGCCTAGAACATAGTTATCAAGACCAGACTAACGATTGGACTGTCGACCTGTGTTTTAGCTGATTTGGCTAGTGTAGTCTAGAGTGAAACAGGATTTGATAAAAAACTCATCAAAATCAATGTTTGACCTGTTTTTGTTAGTCAGACAGGTGGTTTTGAAATAGACAAATTTTTTTTGTATGATATATTACATATCTTTAAATTATTATTCATATTTTTTTAATTATTTTAAATTAGTCAACCAACTAGTTTGACTGATAGTAGGATCAGTTTTAACTATATCAAACCCCTTAGTTTGATGACCAGGATGTTCTTGATAAACACTGGCTTAGAGATAGTCCCCACATTAAAGGCCTTTAATCATGGGATGGTAATTATGCAACAACCAACAAAAGCAATAACGGCCATTACTTTCAAAATAATCGAAATAATGGGCGTTATGAAATAGAGATTCATATTTTACAAAACTACACCAACGGACTTTTTAAATATTTAGCCATGACTATGATCCACTCTTCGTCCCAGACGGTCCATCCAATTGATTGGACGGTGCTCAATCACTCTTCTGGCCCTGCTATTACCATTTTCTTTCCATATAATATATAAATCTTTATAAATTTAGGGAAAACACCATTTTAAAATCGTCAAATAGCCTCAAAACAAATAAACAATGTATCAACAAAGTAGTGACTTTAAAAGAATCATTTCACTCAAGTTCCTCCTCAACTGCCCAAAATCATTAACAAAAATAGCTATTTTTGTAATTTTCCTTATAATGCAAGTGGGCGGAATTGACATAATACCCCCCCTTCATCCTAGGTTCCAAACTCAAAACAAGTTCAAAGAAAAAATACATATTCTAGACCAAAGAAAGAATAAAAAAGGGAAGTTTTATCATTTGGATTTCGCAACTTAAGTTATGTCTAATTATCAAAATATCCCTGATTGTTCATGATTCTAATCTTAAATCAAAGGTATTATGGGCATATTAATACAAAATAGTTAATATGGTATTGGAATGAAATGGTCTTTTTAAAAACAACCACTACGCTGAAATGGCTGATTTGACCACCTCAGTTTTCTATGGGGCTTGGCTATGTTAATAATATCTTCCCTGAATTTCATCTTTTCATTTGTTTTTTAATGGCTTTAGGATATAATTATGCACCGTAAGCTTCTCTACCTATATCCAAAGTCAACACAATAAGGTCATGAACACCTCCATGTATTTATTCATTCTATAAGATAAACTAGTTCTCTTATCTTTCTACAAATTATCTTAAATAATATTTTTGTATCACCCATGTTAAGTAAACCTCTGCTTAGGTTCTTGTGGTATAGTTTTATATATTTTTAAAATATATACTCTTAAGCAAGGACTTAAAACAAAAAATGCTCTAAAGAAATCCCCCCCTAAAATAAAATAAAATAAAAAATCCCTTGGATTCCACTAATCTAATCATCTAAATTGACAGATTTTCAGTGAAGTATGCATCACCTTCGCTAATAATCTCAAACATCATCTATGGAATATCTGCCAAAAAAAAATAACCATGCGATATGTTTTACTCACACCAGAAGTTTGATGCTTTAATATAAAAATTTAATTGTAAATTATTTTGACATCTTCATGCATGCATGATACTTACGAGGGACATTCGGCTTTTGATCGGTGGTTAATTGGATGGCTGTCAATGTTCCATCTTCCGAGATCGTTCCGAGCACCGCACGTGAGTCCCCGAGATTGGCAACAACAAGGTAACCCCCCTGTTTATATGAAAAGCATCACTGATAAGAAAATAAAGAGAAAAAATGGTTCAAAGTTTGAAGAAGCCTAATGTCTGTTTTCGGTTGTATTTGTGGTATACGTGTTCTGGTCTTTTACATATGGGAATTGCAGAGTGCAAAATTTCATCATTCAAGCAGTATGATATAACTTCAATCGTCCCCCAAAACACCCTCAACCATCCTTTGTCCAGAATGAACGGTTAAAATGAACCTTTTCTCAGCTCTAGTGGATAACTTGAGCACAGGAATCCTTCATCTCAACCGTTTGTTGATTGTAGATGTTATATGCACCATACTGTCCATATGGAAAAGTATCATATCATGTTATACTTCCCTTATAGCTATAGAAAATTATTTTCCCATGTTTCCAAGCCAAAATAAATAAATACAGGAAGAGTAGGCTGCAATTTCCCCCACCTCAAAGACCTCAAGACCTCAATTTCCCCCATCCATTGTAATAATGGAGTGGGATCTACCAACAGCTCAAGGTAATTTCTAGTGGGTCACTTCCTTTTCAATGGGCAGTGATTGTCTAAAGAATATGGTGAATGTGGACTGGATTATACTATCCATTTATAATTCATTCCGGAAGCTTCTGAAAAAAATTGTAACTACTTTGTCCTAATTATTATATGGGATTACATACAGTAAGACTATTTACTTTTGATAGTCACAATTATTTATAACCATCTAATGTGAAATATGATAGCTTAGATGTGTTACAAATTCAAAAAAAAGTATTTGGAACTTCAAGAATAATCAATAGAATAAATGCAGTCATCCAATTTCACATCTAATGGTCAAGATTAATTGTGACCACCTTGAAAAATGGTAACCCGGTGCTGGTCCCACCTACGCAGGATTACGGGAGGGGTGAGCTGGAGACGGTCCTAACCTTTGGCTTTTTATGCATAACATGGCCGCTCTCAGGACTCGAACCCGTGCTATTATATTGGCTACCCGAGCCTTGTACTAAAGACAAATGATCTCATTGTATACTTTTCCTTACTATATTACTTCTAAGCTCCATTAGGCACCACGCATATCATACTTTTTGGGAAAGGGTTAGCTTAGGCCAAGGCTTTACAATAACAAGCCAGCCTCAAAACCCCATTGAAAAAAAATATAACTTAATACAGAAAACCCTAAAATTGATCATCTTGGCCTACACAATTATGAATATGAAAAATCCCTAAAAATATTGATCATCTCGGCCTACACAATTATGAAAATGGAAAATCCCTAAAAATATTGTATTTTATTATATGGATTGTCCATTTTCAAGTGTTCACAAGTCAGGCAGATTGATCTATTTTTAGAGCTTTAAATTGCAAAATCAATAGTGGAAATTGACTTTCAGGCCATTAACAGTTTTTGGCATCAGAAATGTATTTTATAGCAAATACTATTATATTTTATTATGATCCCACTCATTATGTTTTGTTAACAGCACTAGCTAGGTAGCATCATGTCATGTCATAACTGTAATAAAGTTTGTGTGTGAGTGAGAGAGAGAGAGGACCTGTTTGATGATGGTCACAGCAGTGGTTCCACTAAAAGAGCAATCAAGATCATTGGAGAGTTTGAGGTTTTTGTCTAGGGCTTTGAATCCCCTGATGCAAGCTTCGTCCCATGCCTCAAATCCTTGTGAAAATCCATTCATCAACCCATCCCTCTGCCTCAGCAACATTGAAGGCAGCCACTCTCTCACTCTTTTGCTCACCAAATGACCATATTGCCCATGACCATCAAACACCCCACAAAACAACCCATCTCCTTCCCCATATCCCTTTTTGTACCCATCAAAAAAACCAAGTCAAAACCATCACAGTGAACTGATCACATTAAAATGCTATAAAATGAGGATAGTTTTGGTCTCTTTCTGAAAATTATCAGTGACTGGAGAAAATGTAAGCAAAGCAAGAGAGAGTTATAAATGAATCAATGTAGATATGACTTGTCTCTTCCAAAAAAAAGAGCCATTTATCTGCGGCCTCTAAAATAAATATTAAAATACGATTTGTACCTTTTATACTAAAAAATTACCAACAAGGTCAGTCAACCTGCGGTTCTTATGTTTTTCAAATTTGCCTCTCGGTCTGAGGATTCAGATTTCTTTAGTAGGCTACTGCCCTGAGTTTTAGGGATAATGGACTACTGCCCTGAGTTTTAGGGGTAGTGCCCAGGCGGACCGCTCCCTGGACTGAACAAAATCCATGTTTAAGGCGGTCCGAGGTCCGGAGCATGGATAGATAGAGAGAAGAAAGAGAATAGAGATATATATTTAGGTGGATAGAGGGTAAAGAGATAGAGATATATGTTTAGAGTGAGAGGATGAATGATGCATGGATTGAAGTGTACCTGGCACAGTATGAAAGCATCTTGGTTGCAACCTTTCCTTCCTTGTTGTGAATAAAAAGAAGCAAAGGAATTGAACCCATTACACACTAATCCTCCCTTCACAAAGATGTCATGCCCCTCTTCATCATAGGATGCCTCACTTATCAAATGAGTTTCATGTGCTGCACAGGACACACAGGCCCCCATTAAAGCCAATAACTCTCTAAAGTTCTCTGCAGTTGACTCCAATTGCCTGTGATTTCCTAAACATGAGGAGAAAAGGGAATGAAGAAATCAACAAGTCACACATGCCAAATAAAGAGCTCCTGCAATAATACCAATTAAATGCTACAAAAATTTCCCTCCTATCCAGAAGGGCAGAAAATGACTAAAATACCCTTTCATGTACCGTAATGCCCCTTTCTTGGTCTCACCAAACCACCATTAGACTTTCTCATAGATAACCAACCATAAAAGGAAAAAGTTATATACAGTGTCAACTTTACACCATAGAAGTAAGGTGCACCTCAAATTTTCACTTGTAGCTGATATTAGAAAGCCCATAAATTGATCATCTAGACTTGGAGATGTATGAATATGAAAAAGATTTAAAACATGAAAATAGCGCATCTTTGTAACAAATTATCTGAACTAACTAATTTCAAAATTATAAAGTATTTATAGCTATTCTCGATTTGAAACATTTTTTGAGCTTTGAATTTTATAATCATTGGTACAAATAGATTTTTAAGTTATCATAGGAGTTTCCGACATTGAAGCTACTTCGTCCAACTGGTTTAGAAGCGCGTCTTACTTCAGTTGTCCAAGACTGACACCTTTTTCTAAAGATTTTGACACCTTATATAAACCACACCCTAATCAAAATGGGAAATGTTTCTATGTGACCCCAACAACATATAAGTTATATGGGACCCCACTTCTCAGCCGCTCGATCTGAATCGAACCGTTACGATTGTTTATATCCTAATGTCATACAAAACACTATTTTATTTTTTATTTTTTTCTACAAAATACTTTTAGATGAAATTTTGGGCATCCCATCATAAAATTAGGGCGAATCTGGGAAAATTAGAAATAAATGACCAAAATACCTTTTAAATGTTTAGGGGTATTCTGATAATTGTTCATCATCGAAAATATTTTATTATTATTATTAACATGTGCGCCCCTATCAGATCTATGCATGCTCCAAATTTTGCTTTAAAATAATTTATATAATAAAAATTAAAAATAAAAACTTTAAGCCGTCTGATCAAGATCTGATGGTTAAAAGCTAATTTGTGACATTATAATTCTAGCCATCTTAACCATCTACTTAGATCTGAGACCAAAGGTCACATATTTTATATATGTAGGAGGGTCACATAAAAAAACCTTCCCAACCAAAATACCCTTATGTATAAACATTTTTCTTGGAGAACTTGTAAGTAATTAAGTATCATGACTAGGGCTAAAATAACCCAAAACTCATTTATGTTTTTTTTTTAAAAGTTCACTTCTACACATGGGCACAATAGTCATTATACCCAAGGTTGATTTTGTCGTTGGTTTGGAGAAGTTGAGTATGGTGGGCAACCACATCGACGCACACAAACACTTGTCATCAAAACCCTAACACCAACACCACCTTGGAAGATATATTATTTTATCTATATATCATTTATTTAGGACTTTGTGGATAGCATGCTCCCGAAAGAGCATACTGTACACTCACTCGGGTTAAGAGTTGCTCAAGAGTTGTCTTTGATCTAAAGCTCGGGGATCCGCTTAAGCATTGCTAGATGTTTGTTTTCGAAATTTAAGTTGGATTAAACGATCAGATTTATTAAATTAAAAATTTGTAGGATATTTGTTCAATTTATGATGTTAATTTTCTGGCATTATGTAAATATGTTTGTTACATGGAGGTCACAATTGCTGATAACTATTAGATGTTAAATTGGATAATATGGGGTGTGACATGAAATTCGAGAAATTATTTTTTGGGACTTTGAGTTTAGTAAATGACATATTCATAACTACCTGGTTTAAAATACAAGAGTGATTCTGACCTCTTTGTATAAAAAGTAATTAATATACTATGAGACCATTTCATTTTATTACAAGAAGGTCACAATTACTCCTAGCCATTAAATGTCAAATTAGATGACTTTATATATATATATATATACACACATGGAAAAAGATTGGATTAGCCCACTAACTCATATGAACATAAGAGTCCAACATCCCAAATTGATTCTAGGCCGATCTAACGATCACAGATGTTTGGTAGTATTTAAATTATTATTTTTTTTACACAAATCTAAATCACTTGAAATTTTAACGTGTGTTCATAAAAAATAAGTGAATCTTCAAAAAATATCAAAAAAATATTTTACATGAAATAAATTAACCAAAATACCCCTGAAAAGTTTGAGGGGTATTTTGGTTATTTATTTTTTCACAAATAATTTTTTTTATATTCGCCTTGATGAGAATAACACACATCTAAAATTTCAAATTATTGGGATCTGTAAAAAATAAAATAAAATTCAAGCGCTATCGGACATTCGTGATCGTCACAGCGGTCCAGATTCAATCTGAACCATTGATTTCATATGTTCATATGAACTGATGGGCTAATCCCATCTTTTCCCATCAAGACATTATGGGTCATAACAAGTACTATTAGATTGTATTTTACATGAGTGATGAGGGGGGTGTTGCTCCCGCAGGAGCATAGAACGTTTTGACTTTATTGAACTGACTTTGGGTCCTTGCTTTAAAAATATATATTAAACAATAAATAAAATAGAAGAAGAAATTTATGTCCCCCCTATACTTGGGAACAATTACTTCTCAAATTCCACAAATATTTGGTCAATCAATCTTTTCATGTTTATGTATTTTGGCCTTTTCCCATCTATTCTCTAATTGCCATGGAGTATTATAATACAAAGTTTGCGTACCCAAATATTTTAGTAAGTAATTGTTTTATATAATATGCCTTCATAAGTGTCCCTTCCTAGTCAGCTGGATAGCTACCTTAAGCCTTGTAATAAACAATATCAACCAATATTGAAAATATGGGTGATGTTTCTATAGGGATGAGGCCCCAAACAATCAAAGTAAAACACACTTTTAAATTGTGTTGGAATATATTTTTCTATATGGGAAATCTTTGTGATGGCTTGAAACTTTGTTTTCATATCTAATTATAAAATTTAAAGCTTTAAAAATAGTATAGATTGAGCAGATCTATGAACACTTGAAAATTTTTGAAAATTGATGGTCCAAAAATTACATTACAAGATGGACTACTTCGAAAACTTGAGATCCATTTCTTCTCGTGTCCATACATATTGAGGTCAAGATGATTGATTTTAGGATTTTTTGGCATCAAAATAACCTTTTCTAATGGATTTTGAGGTGCGTCTTAATTTAATTGTTTAGGCCTTAATTAACTTTTTCCCATAAATATAAGTGTGGCCCAAAAAAAAAAGAAAAAAAAAAGAAAGAAAGAAGAAAGAGAAATACATGGATAAGACCAATATAAAAGAAACTAGCAACCATCAATATGAATATTCAGTACCTTAATGAATCATGAATCTTAGCAATAACTCAACAGGCATTTATTCCTAAAGAAATGAATCCGATAGCATGGGAATAATTTAAGAAGCAATTATTGATCAAGAAATAATAAAGCAAGTGACAAAAAGTCAAATAAGCAAATTAAAATGAAGTGAGGAAAATTACATAGATGGGAGTCAAATGACTAATTGGCCTCTTGGCATCATGATTAGGGCATAAGCCTCTATTATTTAAATTAAAAATAATAATATTGCTTATCTTTTGGGTAGGGAGATAAGGCAACTAACAAATCGTCACATGACATCAGATCCTTGTAGGTGATGTTTAAAGTTTAAACTATGAACTTCAAAGGGATACAAATTCCTTTGCTTTGTTCTTAGAGTCTATAATTTTTCCTCCTTAATGATTCATTCAAACGTGTATGTGTGTGTGCATGGATATCTATAAGAGAGGGGGGAGAGAGGTAGATCAAACCTTAATTTTTTGAAATGTATTTTTAAAATGCATTACATAATTTCAATTCAAATTATCTTAAAATTTTAATTGTTTTGAAAGAAGATGAAATATATTCGTATTAAATCATTATAGAAGAATTTTGGATGTCCTGTGCTCATGTCTATATCTTATGGTTCATTGGATCAAGCCTCATTCTCTCTCTCCTTAAATTCTATCTTCTAAAGCTTTACAATATAATTCATTATTCATACTTTACTATCTAGGTCCTTAGTGACAGTTGGTAGAACGAGTTTCATTATCATTATCATCTGAGCTTATCTCAACTATATGGGCTATCATTTCGCACTATCTAAAGTTATTATTCTTATTAAGGCTACAAATCACTATATCTCTTCTCACTATTTCTATCTATATCTTTTCGAGTATTCTACTTGTCATTTTAGATCCTTCCACTTGAACCAAATCACTCTCCTAATGGTGTTGTTCTAAGTCGATGTTGCACGTGGCTATGTCACTTAAGTCTATTTTCCCCCATCTTATTACATATAAAGCTACTTCTAAATTCTTTCGGATGTATTCATTCCAAATTCTATCCTTTCTTGCCTTGCCACTTATCAATTGCAACATCCTCATCTCAGCTATAATGATTCTATAAGTATATTGTGTTTTGACGGCTCAACATTCCATCCCACAAAATATGGTTGGTCTTTAGTTTTATTCATATCCTTTAGCTGGTGGAATGAGTTCTTAAAAAGGACAAGGTCTTATGATGATCTAGTATTTGATTAGAACTAAATTCTTCTCTATTTTATTAATAATTTATCGCTTTTACTGATACTCCCTATACAATTTCGCCCCAGGACATACACCTTTGAACTCCACTTTTTTATGCTAATCCCAAGTGATCATGTCTTATTTTCCCAAAGTTTCTTTGCTTCTCTGTTTTTTGGCTAGTTTGGTTGAGAATAGCTTCGGGCCATGGCGGTAGTATTACCGAACTTCATGGTGAGGTCTTTGACTCCATTCTTGCCAAAGGGTGGAGGCTCAAATCCCTCCATTCTTGCCAAAGGGTAAGGGCCCAAATCCTTGCTGACTTACCACTTTTCAAAAACAAGTAAGGACTCATCATCCCCACTTAATTATCCAAAAATAAATAAAAGTGTGGTTTGTAAAGTGCACCTATAAAATTTGTTTAGATATTTAGTATTGTCGTCGGTGTGGGAAACTTTATGATGGCTTGAAAA